TTTGGTCAGATTTTCAGGAAAAGCCGTCAAATTCAGCAAGCGTTAGCTTCAAATGGCTAGCAAGCCAAAGCACTTTGTCTGGTGTTTCTTGAAGACATGCACAGCTCTTAACTTGAGTTTTGAGTTAGTGGCAGCCAGAGAAATCGCGCCTCTTGACCGTCTCCCCGAAATGGAGGGCCCCACTGCTAGGGTTTCCCTTCTTATGAAGATCTTTTTACTGGGTTCAACCTATTTACCAACATTTTCAATCTCAGATTGTCTTTGCCTGTGAATAACTAGCGTTTTTTTAATCATTTATAAGCCGTTATCCTATACCAACCCAATTACGAGATCCTTGATTTGTAGATTTTTCTGTCATAGTCGGAACTTACGCTTTTTATTTTTGCACATATATTATGATCTGTACAAGGGGGTATAATATAAAAACGCAGTTTGCATCTGTTTTCACCCACACCATCGTACAAAATGCAGTATTCAAATTAGAATGTGGCTGCTTTATTTTTTTGGAAAATAAAAAGCCTATCGTCAGCTAAGGTGCACTCAGAAGGCAGGCACAACTTACGAACTCGTACATTATCTTAAAGTAAACCTTTTATCTTGCTTTGGAAATGGCACTGTAGAACAGACCTTGACCTTCACACTGCTTATGGAAATTTGAAAGTTAATTTGAAAAGGAGTTTGTCAATTTTTTAGTAATATGGTTGAGAGGCAGCATTTTTAAAATCTATTTATAACGGTGTTTAGGCCCTCCTGGGTGCGTCCAAGAATCAAATAATGTGTTTTAAAACAAGTCTGAACACTTTTTTTCACAAATCGATCGTGGTAGATATTCCTCTAAATGCTCGTAAGCAGAAAAATGTTTTTTACATGGAAAGTTTTGCATAAGTGGAGTCTCAAAATCGATTTTTTCTGCATAAAATCGTTGCTCGTACGCACGTATTTTTAGCAAATAATTTTTCGTATTTCGCGTAAGCTGCTAAACTGCTGTAAAAAACGTTCACACCGGCAAAACTGCTGTGAAGTACAGAACTTCGGAATTTTTATCACAATAGCCGTATCGCACGTTTCATACCAACCTTTCTTTATGCAAACAAAATTTCTTTTTAAAAACGCAAGAAGACTTTGCATCGACTTTGTACTAATTTGTCCCCTTCCTTGCTCGGACAATCAAGGGCAGTAACAAATGTTGTTCGCTCAAACTCTTTCCTTGCACTTCTGAAGAGACTTCCAAAAATAGTGACGAAAAATGCGAAAAATTCCCAAGAGGTTGTGTCCAAGCTTGTCTCCCGTTTTATCAAGCGGACAATCAGAACAACAGTCAAATTAGAACGACATATGACTTCCACAGTTATAGTTGAAAACTCATAAAATAAATGTTTATTTTTCATCATAATATTCAATGCAGCAAGTAATAAATGCACTCGTGTTTTGAGAGAGAGAGAAAGAGAACGTATAAATTCATTGCATTCATTGATTGATTTTGATTTTGAAAATTTAGCAGGACAAGGCGATCAATAATAAGAAAAGCTCTGAGAATGAATGCATTAGAATCTATACGAATTGACTAGACCATCCGTAATGTTGGACGATATTGATTTTTTTCCATATAAAAATGTTCACGGGTTGCTTTGTTGTCGACGGGGATCCAATGATACCTAAAAATAAAATTTTTATGGTGGAAAAATGCTAAATCTTTCTTTGTGAGGTCTAAATCAGTTTGCAGACGCCTGTTCAATTTGGAGAGTCAAAGTGGTTACAAAAAGAAGGTCAAGTTAGCCCTGAAAAATCATTTCATGCATGGCTCCCGACACGCCCCTTTCTGAAAGTTTTGGGATAGGAGTGCGCAAAATGGAGAAGGGTCTCAAAAGTTTTTGAAGGTAGCAATAACGGTATTTTTATTTCCTCCATAAAAAAAACTTTGTCGGCTGTTACCGAGAGATTTTTGGGAATATTGATGGATGGTACGCAATTACACACAAACTCACCGTGGACTCCTGATCACTGCTTTTGTTGCGCATTTCTTGTGTAGACAATATAACCGAACTGAGATGCCATGTGCTAGGGACTGTATTGGATTTGGATGACATTTGATCCGAACCACGTGCGAAGGTGCAAAAATTACATTACCACCCTCTTCCAGTAGATGCTAAAGCGATCAATAGTTATCAGAACTATGGTAGCAAAATTAAGAAGTAGGCTTACCCTGTAAACCTTTGAGACAACCATAGCGAAGAAATATTCGAAACCGAATTCAACCGTAGGAAATGGTTGTTCATTTTCGACTAACATATCTTCGTTTTCTATAGATTTGTGGACCAGAACTTCTGTTCGGGACCTGGAATTCATTTATAAGTAGACTCCGCCTCTCACAATTTTGCTATCCGGTTCCAACCGCTGGCATAGAGAATTTTTGCTGCACGCGAAATCATATTAGAAGTAGGACTATGCTGAAGGGTTAGGACAAGGACTAGAATTACGGTAACTATCATTGTAGGAGTACGGTAAGCCTAGTTAGCGATGTCAAGCTATTGCATTCAGCTTTCTGAGACTCTAATCGTAAGGTTCATTACTGAAACCACTTACTCGTCCAGACTATGCCGAACTATCATGAATTCCATAAATAATCCAGGCATGTTGATATTCATCGGAAGTATTCGTGGTAAGTCTGTGTGTACTGCATCTCTATACGCTAATCCTTGTTCAAGTAACGGCAAAAAGTCTTTCACTCTGGAAATTATTGTAATCAAGGAATCATTTAGAATATTGATTTGTTGATTTTTTACCTTAATGGTAATTTCTTAGCTAGCACTTCGTCAACAGACCACCACTGAGCTCCAAGAGATTCTTGATTGGGCTTCGTTTTGAGTTCACCGCCTAGAAAGGTTCTTATATATAGAAAAGTTGTTCCTTCTCATAGTGAGATGAGGGGCTGCGAAAATCATGAACATGCAAATTACGCCCAAAACTTTGCTTCTCCATTATTTAAAAAGGAAATGATTTGAATAGAAGAATGGATGTTGAATGAATAAACGAATAGAAAACTCATTCGTTGATGATCAGTGGAAGAAGGAATAATGGAAGAGAATCAAGAACCAAATGGATGCAGGGATGAATGAATCTTGGATGGCGAACAGTTCGATAGAGGTTGAAAGATGGACTGAACAGATGCCTGGATGAGTTAGCAATGTAAGGGAATCTATACGAATGAGGTCCCGAAAAATTTTGGAGTGTCCTAAGAAAATATTTGCCTCCCCCCCCCCTCT